GAGTTCAAGGGCGTGCTTTGGCCCTGTGACGTTTACAAACGAGTCAAGAACGTGAAGACTATCCCAAAAGAGTTGTCAGTCACAACCATGATGGTGAATGGGCGTAAAATCCGTGGAGTGGTCTTAGACGAATCGCATGGCAGACCAGTGGGGTCAGTGTGCATATACTCCGAAGATACCAAATACGTCACAAAGGCCGGGTTGGTTTGGTTCCTGCAAGTTTCATTTGGGTTCCATTTTGCTCTTTCAATCTCAAGCTGGGCTTAAATCTACAATGTACAATGATGTCTTGAGTTTGGAGTCTTAACCTGACCAAGCCTCAACCTGGCAGGCAGGAGACATCATGGATGGTTCGTCGGCTATAGACGACGGAGAGGTTCAAAACACTTGGCAAGCTTTGCAGCAAAGAGCATCAGCAGGAGGACTGTTTTTCTCTAAGCTTCAGCACCTTTGTCGCCTTTGTTTCATTCCAGATGTTGGATTACACTCTTACACTTAGACTAAGACTTGCACAATGATTCATGATCGAGTCAATATATAATATTGTTTGACATATATATTAATTAAATTATTGTATATTATATTATAGTGTATGTTGGCTGTTAAAGGTCGTGACTTGACTCTACACTCTAGACTCTAGACTCTAGACCAGACTTGACTTACTGCACTCTTGATTCAGGAGTCCATGTGAAGGAGGGTGGTGAGGTAACTCTGGCTTCCTCCAGTTCAAAGCTTTCTTTGGGGGATGATCTTCAGGATGAGCTCGACGATCTGTGGGGCAACAGGGACCTTTTCCTGAAGCCAACAAAACGTAGGAAAATGCTGGATGATCAGGACTGCTTTGTATACTGAGTTGTCCGTTTGTTTACTGCCCATCGTCCAGGTTTAATGCTGCTATACATTCCAGTTGGATTCGTTGTAACTTGCAACAACCTATGACCTATGACCTATGACAATGAGGTGTCGTTGTCGCAACATTTGTGGTTTTCCTTGAGGATTTTGAGGAGGGTGAAGCATCAGAATCTGGAGGAGCGGCATATCCAGATCCCCCTCAAACTACTCACCATCAGGATGAAGACCCGGATGGCAAGGACCCCAACGCCAAGGACAAAAGGCCACGCGTCAGCCAGCCTTCGACCCCCAAGATATCAGTTTTTGACAGCTTTGGTGGCACTTCGACTCAGCCTAGTGGCAATGCGCAGAAACAGAACAAGCAAGCAACAAGTGCCATCACCAAGTCCGAAGCGGTTATGAACGAGGCTGCCCAGCTCCTCGAGTTTTTTGATGATGACCCAGGAATCTTCAAGGTGACGGATGCCCGGTGTGTGATTATGATTATGACTATGATTGATTCACTGATTGATTAAGCCGTGTTTGTGTTACCCCCAGGTCTAGATTCTAGATATGTTTTTGTGTCTGACTGATGTCAATGTTCAATGTGTTTGCCAAACTTTGCCCCTGTGACACGTCAGGAAGGCAAAATCTCGAGCATTGTGATGAAGATCAATGGTCGGCTGACTTCTGATGTCCTTCAAATTTGTGTGAGTGAGGGAGACTCAGCATTGCAGCAAAAGGGTCTTCACGTGGTAAGCCAGCTCCGGTCAATGAAGGCAAAGCTCATTGATTGTATCTCTTTGGTGCAGTCACTATCCTCCACCAGCGGGGAAGCATTCCATCACTCCTACCTTAAAAATGCCTTGGAAAAGGCACGCAATGCAGATGTGCTCGTGACAAAATCAGTGGATGTTTTGCTTGCAGTGAGGCATGTCTCTTCTTTAGCTGAGTCACAGAATTGGGAGGCCCTTGTAGCGAAGCTAGCAAGCCACTTGGCTGGGTTGGAGCAACAATCACAGACCGAAATCCGTCTTCGAGGCTGTGTTCATGCAGTAGAGTCTGTCATGCGACAGTCTTTGGTGGGTGGCGCTGAGAGCGACGAGGTCAAGGCCACTGAAAACAGGCGCACTGCAGCTTTGGAGAGGTGTGCCTCCCTCGAAAACCTTGTGGGAGAATTCTGCAAGAATGATACACTCTCCAAAGATTCATCATTGGAAGTACTAAGATCCGAGTTCCTCCATGTCCAAACCTTGTGCAAAGCCTTGCACAGTCAAAACCAGATGAACTCTGTTGAAGTGTCTGAGTGTGAAGAGGCTCGCGCAATGCTGAGTGCAAAAAACTCCAATTTCCAAAAGGCCTTTTGCGCGCTCCCACTTGGAGTGTGGATCATGGATGAATTGCAAGAATGCCTTGCACGTTACCACGCCCACAAAGCCTTGCTGAATTCTTTGGAAAATGCGTTTCTTGGCCAATTGTTTGATAATTTTACTTAACTTTACTTTATCGTTGTCATCATTCATCATTGACATGTGCTGCTGCGATTCGGCAAATGATTTTTGGCCAGCTAGTAGAAGAGTTCTGTCTGATTTCTGCTTTTCAGGCTGTCCGCATCAGAAGCATTGGTGGTCCCAACGCCAAGCCAGCTTTGTGGAAGTGGCAATCACATCACGCTCGAGCACCAGGAGGAGTGGAGCAATGTGGCTGCCAAGTTGAACATTGCCTTGAACTCCGGAGCACCTTCGTTCCAAGAACTGGCAACCACCAAGGAGAAAGTGGAGAAAATCCGTGAGAAGCAGAATCTACTTGCTGAGTCCTTGATGTCTGCAGTGGCGCAGTTGTTTTGCAAGCATGTGCCTCAAGCAGACCTTGCGCTTTCAGCTGTTCTCTGTCATGGGGATTCAGATGATGGGACTACTACTGTGACTACTTTGCCAGCGCAGGAGGTTCTTCAGAAATTGGCGTCCCTCAACCTGAAGCGTTGGATGAATTTCGACCCAATGAGTGTTCTTGGAGCTTGTGCTGGTCAAATGTTCAGTTCCTTTCTGGACGACCTTATTGGCTTGCTCACCAAGTCGTCTGAATCTTTTGATTTGATGAGACTCATCTGCGGCTCTAGAACAAATGCTTTTTTGGACGGTTCCCAAATGTTTTGCACCTTTTCCTTTGCTAACTATACTATACTATACTATACATTTAACTTTAAGACGCTGTACTATACTATACCTAAAACTGAACCTTTATCATCTCACAGTCTGACTGAGGACATCATGGGCAAAGTTCAAGGACCAAGTGAAACTCCAGGACTTTAGCAAGCCGGCTTTTGTTCAGCTGTTCCAGTTGACAGGCAGGCTTGGGCATGCCAATGGCAAGGAAGCTTCCCCTTTGACTCTCAGCGCCTTTGAGAAGCGCATTCAAGAGCTTGGACCTGCATTGGGCAAGTTTTCATGCCACAGGTTTCATTTCTGGATTGCAGAGGTTGCCTGCTGTGCTTTGAAGAATGCTTTGGGTCCATTTCACAATCTCTTCACTGGCATGGTTTGCCTGCCCGATATTGCGGTTGCTGAGTTTCTTGGGCGGAATGCCATTCCTGAGTCCAGTAGCATGCCTGAGTTTCCATCCGGAATGACCCCTCAGACTTTTGCCCAAACGTACTTGGCAGTGTCTCCAGCTTTGAAGATTGCCTTTCCGAGTGGGGATGTCAATGCTACCTTCACTTGCTTGGTTGCCGAAATCCTTCCAGTGGTGAGCAGTATTCTCCACACATGCGAGCATCGGATCATCTCAGATGCCTCGAGCTTCTCTGATGTGCTTACGGCTGCATGCAAGGAGAAATCAAGTGCACAAGCCTTGCAAAAGATTTCGAGCGGCAAGATTGTTGCTATCAACAACCACTTTGATTCAATGCGCAATTTGTTTGACCACATCGTTGCGTCCAAGAAGGTGTTTGTTGAGACCAAGCTCAATGACACAGACAAGGCAGGAGTTGATCGTACATTGGCATATCTGACAGAAGGGGCCAAGAAACTACAAAACCACATCCTCAGTGTCATCAATGAAGATCTGATCACTGAGGTCAACAAGTCAGCGAACGACATCATTTCACTGGCAACCTCGATGGCAGGCAAGGAATTCCCCAATCTTTTGGCAGAGATGCTCACCAATGCAAAGGCCGCGGTGTTTGCCGATGCCAAAGCTCCAGCCACCAAAAGCAACCTCAACACCTTGTGAGCGTTTGAGGGGAGATCCTAATCGCTACCTCACAGTCCCTGCTCTCCCCGCCAGCGACTACTTCTATGTCGCTGCCAGCAAATTCCTCGGCTCTTTGGCACACAAGAATGGGATCCTTGACATCGTTGAGCAGATCTTCTTGAAGCATGCCCTCTTTATTGACGAGTCCGAGTTTATTGTCTCAGCAGGAACCGCCGTCAAGGATGCCAGGGACATCTCGCAAAAAGGAGACATCTTGGTGGTGAAACTCGCGCTGGCTGATCTGATCGCAACTTGACATCTAGGAATCTAGATTCTTGACTAGAGTCAAGTGTCTACCCACTAGTCACTAGTCATTCATGATGGTCACTGTACTTAGAGACTTAGACTTAGACTTATACGATCTTATACGGTACTCCGTACTAACTGTACGCTGGTGCCCAGGTTCTCTCCACCATTGGTCGCAACTATGATGACAAGGACAAAATGGCAGCTGCTGGCAATAAGTGCTCGACTGGTTTGGCTACCAAGAAGTTGCGTTGCTCTGACAGCGTTGTCCCACATTTGCAGAAGATGTGTGGCGGTGAGTTGCCACAAGCTTTCCAAGGGTTTCTGCAGAAGCCTGCTTGAAGAACCTTTTCGCCAGATCCAATGCTTCCAAGTGAAAAAAGAGTCACGCCAGAGCGTCACTTACGGTGTTCAGTTAAATCTCGTTGTACCAGTTGAGCAGACACCGATTTTGTGTCAATGTCAAAGTGTCAGTTCACCAGGGTTATTGTGTCAGTTCGTTGTTTTCAGTGTGTCAGTTCACGGCTTTTGCTGTGTCAGTTTCTTATTTTGCGTGTGTCAGTGTCCCTTGTTTGTTGAGTCAGTATTGTGTCAGCTCAGTGCTGAAAAGGCAGCAAACCAAACAATTGTACCCACAGAAAGGCATGATAGAGAAACACTCTAACTTTAAGGTATTTGGTCCTCAGCAAGGAGCTGGACATGCTAGGCCGGACGCATGGGACAGCTGAGCACTCACTAGTCGTCTCTCTAGCTTTTTTGGATGGTTCTATGTGGTGTTTCGGTGTTAATCCTAATAATTATGTAATACATGCCCCCTTGAGGTTGGTGTTTTCCTGGGCCAGCTATATAAATTTGGTCCAGAGACACAATGTTTCTCACAAAGTCAGACATGCCCACGGTGCTGTGTTTGGTGTGCATTTTTGCGGGCAGCTCTGAGCTTGAAGCAACTTTGTAGGGCATCTTTGCCGGATGGTGCCCTTTGATGCCGGCCACCTGCTGCCCAACCAACGCCATTGAAGACAATTCTGAAGGTTGACCAGGATGTTCGAATGCGTTTTGTGCAGACGCAAGTCCGGCATACGTTGACATTAGACATTGAGTACTTACTGAACGGAGTGCGATGGGTGCGTTCACATGGTCCTCTCCAGTCAGGTTACCCTGATGCGGCCATTCTTCTTGATGTAGTCGTGCTTTTCTGGGCCTGGCTGTTGCAGCCATGTGGTTATCAACCAGGTTGAAAGGCTTTGAGCATCACATTGGCCCATCGCATGGCACGCTCCTGAGCCTGGAGGGCGATCGAGAAACGTCTCGGTGCAGGTCCAAGCACTGAAAGCTGTGATGCTGTGACCCTTCGAAGGACCTGCAGGTGGCGGACGTGGGAAACAGAGAAAAACAGCGGACGTGAGATGACGTGAGATTCTTTCACTCCTGCCAAGCACTTCAGGCTCAATGCTGCAATCTGCTTCTTGAGACTCTCGCGTTGGTGGCCTGGTCGCAAGGCCATTGGTCAGCTCTTTTTGAGGAATGATGAGTTGACAATGAGAAGCAGCTTGTTTGAGGCACGATGTTATCTCCACTTGCTCTGAATTGCTGGCCGAAGATGCAGGAATGGTGAAAGCGCTCTATTTGCACCCCGGTACCAATCCGGTTCCACGGTTCACTGGAACGCCTCCAACCTTGAACCCATCTCATGTTCTGCTCCTGGTTGGCTTTGCGGTGTTTCTTCTGTTGCTGTGCCGCTATTCTCAGGCGAGGGCAGGCACACCTCCAGCAATTTGCTTGCAAGAAGTGGTCGTGTCGCTCTAACATGCGAACACTACTACAATAGCAGGGCAGTTTTGTCGAGAAAGCATCGTCACGCACACAGGCTGGGATTCGAATGGTACACTGTTTGAGAGAACATGGGCAGTCGGACATGGGCAGTCGGACATGGGCAGTCCCCCGCGACTTGATCCTTCCACGTCCTTCAAGGCTCAAGAATTTGGAAGGCGCAAAGCAGGATTTCAGCCATGCCCTTGAACTCGATCCCTCAAACGCAGAGATTGAGAAGAAATTGGAGACTCTTGGAAGCAACAGAGGTAGAAATGATGAAACGTGACCAGTAGGATCCAGTATGATAGTATGTTTATTTGGTGTCTTAGCGAGCTCCCTGCCATTTTTCATTCTCAAACGATGTCCAACTACACGGACGTCACCCGAAAGGCCCGAAAGCCGTCGGCTGTGTGTATCTTGCAAGGGCTTGTGGCCGGTATCGTAGAGGCAGTTCATGGCCAGTGGGTGAGACCGTCTCAACTTCCAACTCAAAATGCTCCACCAGCCCCCACCCGCAAAAAAAAAACGTGTTGGGTGCCGACGGTGCCGGTGCTGTGACGACAGCGGTTCCGGTATGTTCCGGTGCTACTTTGCACACTGATCATGAAAGGCAGAATTCCAAGCAGCATGATGCAGCATGGCTCTTCCCTCTGATCAAGTACTTTGCACATGATTGCATCGCTGGGTAGGGGTGTTCCTTTACCCAATCATTGGTCATGTGGGTCGCAGTGAGATGTTGCCGGCTTTGGGTTGTTGCAAGCTTGTTGTGGAACATCTAAGGAGTTGTCAACGGGCCCTTCTCAAAGCAGACGTCCCTGAGATGCACTCAGCCCGCTTCAGGCTCTTCATGCACGGTCAAGCAACCGTGGAGCCCAGGCACGGAAAGAGTCCAAAAAGGAGAGGTCCAGCAACACCTTGGACAAGTGGAGTTAAGATTCGTGGATGACGAGAGCTCCTCCAGCGATGCCTCGGACCGATCTGGACACGACGGGGAAGCGGAAGAGGACCTGAGCGATTGGTCGGCTTGACATGAAATCTGAAGACCAAGGTGAACAGAGGGAGGGAGTGTGGAAAAGTGCTGCTGGGTTTTGTGGCTGGATGTCCTTTGGCAGCCTTGTGTTAGTTGAGTGACATTGCATGGCTTAGCGTGTTTTAGGTGATTCTTTTGCATGCCTTTGCGCGGCCAGTGTCACCCTCAAGCAAGAAGATGTAGAATGTAGCGCCCAGAAGGTCCAGAAGGCATTTTTTCTGTGATCCAGCACTTCTCCCATGAGAGTCAGAGTATTGCAGAATGAGTTCTGAGAATGCCCCATCTACCGAATTTATCGCGCCTTGGCGAAGAAATTGGAGGTGCTTGGTGAAGTGATTGAGGCCTTCTTAAGGAAACATATTGCAACATACGTAATAAAATTCCCCCCACTCTAGGGGAAGGTTTCACCAAGATGTGGCTGATTCTTCTTGGTTCCATTATGTTCCACTGTGTTCCATTTAACTGAGGATTGGCTGGTGAAGCTGAACCTCTCCAAGTATCACAATGCCGCTACTTGCTTCATCTTGCTTCAACCTCTCACAGCGCAGCTTGGATCATACGGAGCGCAGCTTTAGGCTCTGGATCTGAGGCCTGCGATTGGTGGGTGGCCAATGGCAACTTGGCTTAGGCCATCTGGGCCATACTCCATTGACACGTGCGCTCACCAGCTGTGGACTGAGGCGCCATCAGCCTGGCAGAAGTCATTGAGAAGCTCAACTGCACCTTTCCGGTGTACCCTGTCAATTGTCAATGCCTTTCAATGTGCAGGGTGTTTGCCCTAGTTGCCGGGTTTTCCTACCACATTGTCAGGTGTCCTCCTGTTTTTAAGGATCGAAAGCTTCACTTAGGGATGATTTGATCACAACCTCTGCCCGAGTCGCTGAGGAATTGGGAAGTCTTCGTGGTGGATTTGGGTCTGAAGCCTTTAGAGCGAAAGCGTGTGGAGCTGCTGTGGCTGGTTTTAGAGTATCTATGTTTCAATATGTTTCCATGAAAGTGGATCGGACCACATTGGAAGGGGGACGTTTGTCCAAGTCACACCAGAAACCTCAAGTCTGTCCAAGGAAGGACGTGGAAAGCACTTGGCGCACGACTCTGCGTTTCAATCACCGGCTCTCACAAGAAGTCTCAGCCTCTTGGGTCTGAAAATCTTTGTGATCAAAAAAGAGCATTAAAGAGCGTCTCACCATTGCGCAAAAAACATCATCTTGATGTTGGCTGGCTTGTGTCTTCATGGCTGTATGTGTACCCGGTTCCTATTGCCTCGCAACCTAGCACACTTGTTGCAGCTTCCACCTCAACAGTTGGGGATGAGGCGAACATGGGCAAGTGCTGTCAGAGTGCTTCTTGCAAGAATAAACAAACATGAAGATTTTATTATATGTAGTTAGATTTACATCAAATATATGTATATACATCAATATTGTGTTTGATATGTGCAACTATACGTTTTTATCCAAGGATTGGCTTCAATCCTTAAGCCTTGGTCACTACACAGCGGCATTGCTGGAGTGGTGCGAGGCTGGTGATGCAATTCAATCAGTAGCAAAACGGCTTTGTGGCAGCTTGAAGGAGGTCAAGAAAAGATAGGGCATGAGTGTCATGTTGGGAGAGGTTAAGGGATGGATTGCGAATGCTTATTGGGGGCAAACAGGATCAAAAAGGCGCCGGGCATACCACAGTGATTAATGGCAGAGCCTTGCACTTGCACGGCGGGGAGGAGAATGGTGCTTCCACGATGGAAGAAGTCTGGGGAAGCTGGAAGGATGTGGTAGATAAGTTGGACATCAAGCCCTTGGAACGAAAGCGCATTGAAGCATGGCTGCACTAGACCCTGGAGCAAGTTGTAGAGGAATCGGAGCCCCAGAGACTGCATACTAGCATTGGATGCAGGGCAAATCTGCACAAGCGAAGATCAACTCAGAGACGTGGTTCCTGCATGTGAAGTCTTGAAGGATCAGTTTTGTACAGCACTGCCATGCAAAGCGTCAATGCTCTTTTCCACTCGGGGCTCGTGAGGCCAGGCCTCGTTGCTGCTTGTCGAAGCAGTTGGGTTTCGTGACGGGCCTCGTTGGATCAGACGGGAAAGCGCCCATCGGCGCCGATCGTCGTTTGGACGAAGGAGAAAGATTTGGCATCGCGAGCGGTGGCGCCTTTGGTTGATGAACCGATGCCGCCTCCAATGCCCAAAATGGTTACAAGGCACCAGCAAGGCTTTTTGGGGGGGCCTTTAAATTTCTTTGCAAGGAGACAATTTTCCAGATGTGCTATTGCTTTTTTTGTGACTTGGTGTGGCTCGGTGTCATTCCGAAGCTAAAACTGATGCACACCTTCCTAATTTCATTCTTCAGCCGCAAGAAGTGAGCACACTTTCAGTTTCGCCTTTCTTTGACATTACAAGTGTGAAGAAGTTTCTGATTGTTTGAACTTTAGACTTGTGTTTGCCAAACCCCGTTATTCAATCTACTCTAGAAGTCGTTGTTCATCTTGAACAAGAGGAACTTGTAACAAAAAAGCAAAACAATGCAGCCAAAAAAACAAAAACACGCATAAAAGCAACAAAAAACAAACAAATTTGCAAGCAAAAATTGAACAACGCGGCATGTTTGTAACAAGCACGAGTAATACCTTTGCAACAAACAGCGTGCCGCTGTGAGAAAGCACGGAGCGCAGAGCTGATTTGATTCTAAGGATTAAAGCAATGGGTGTCGCACCTTGTACTTCCCGTCTTGTACTTCCTTGGCACCTGGCACCTGTTCCACGAAGGATGTCCTCCCAGACAATATAGCCGCTACTGCTACTGTAGCTGTGTCAGAAACTCTGCACCAGAAAAAATAAGAAGCGACCAAAAGTGCGACAGAAGCTCGGCACCAGAAAGAAAGCGACCAAAAGTGAGACGCTTGACCTGGCACCAGAAAACCAGTCTGCTGGGCTTTGGGGAGGCCCTTGAACCTTTGCCCTTCTTCCTAACCCAGTGCTACCCTCGCAAAATTTTTGAACGCGTTGAATTCCGAATCTGCAGTTAGTCTGTAGAGGCCCTTGCTAGTGACTAGTGGTGCGGGTAGTAAGTAGTAGTAAGTAGCAGCAGCAGGGGTAGTATTGGTGGTAGGTTAGTGGTAGTTACTTCGTAGTAGCTCCGTGCTGCTGTACGAATTGCTCCGTGCTTTAAGTGTATGCTTTTTGTTGCTTTCTTGGTTGCTCTTTTCTTGCACTTGGCTTTGCGCATGGTTTCCCTTGTGCTTTTTTGTTTGCACTTTTGGTGTTTTTTAAATAGCTGTTTTTCAAGCTTCTAACTTTCTAGAATAACGCCACCTCTGGTGGACACAACTTTAGACCTTCCCCTGCGCCAGGGCGTCACCTCAGACTTGCACCTTTGGACCTCCTGAAGATCCCCACATGTATAAACTGATGGAGGAGTGCCTAGATCAATGGCTGGGGGCATGGTTGAAGTTGAGGCTGGGGAGTAGGGGGTCATGCAAACGAGATCCTTTTGCCTAGAGACTCTGCTGGGAGGCGGGCGTGCTTGGTTAGAGGATGTTGAAGAGTGGCTTTCTTCCACACACGCACGCACATATAATCCTAGCCGCGAATTCCAACTGAACCAACCTGTGAGTTGGTTGATGATTGGTACAACGAACAGCCAAGACCATGGGACCATGTGCGACCGTGAGACCCCGTTTGGCCCCCGCAAAGCTGCTGAGGATTGGCTTTGGAGTGACGTCAAAGGTCTACAGGTGCTGCCGCGGGAAGGACCGAGACAGCAAGGCAAGTCGTGAGGTTGACCAATGGAGTTCTCATTCTCAGCTCTGAGTCTAGACTGCCTGAAAACATGGTCTAGACTGCCCTGGGAGGTGCGATCTAGTTGTTTTTTCTCAGGGACGCGTGCTCTCAGAGGACCATGACATGCGTAGGATGGACCAAGGGGGGCCAGACACATTCCGTCAAGACACGACAGCTTCGCGATGGATGAACAAACCACCGCAGGGCCCTATAGACTTAGCAACCACCAGCGCTAGCGCATCCACCCCTATGATTGAGGGACGTCAGAGTCATGTACTTCCCCAGCTCTTCACGCTTTACTAGGTTATGTGCAATGTAGATGTGTCGATTTTATGAAGAGTGGTGGAAGATCGTTGGTTGCTCTTGCTTCTGCTGCAGATGCCTGCTTGCAAAGAGGAGGCCTGGCTCAACCATGGTTTCTTTAATCACCTAGGGCTGGGGGAACCTTTGAGCCAAAAGCCATGTACACACTCACATGATCGACATGTGTAGATCTCAGAGATTCTCAGAGCTGTGAGGAGATTTTTGCCGTAAAGGTGATCAGTCTCAAGCGCTTTCGCCATCAACCATGCGCGAACCATATCACAGACAGGCGAGGGCACCTCTTGGAGTGAGCCTCTACAGGGCCCGCGGCACCTATTCAATGGTCCCACAAAGACTGAACATCAATTCAAAGCGTTGAACTTGTGTTGGTGAGGACTTTGTTCATGAGCCGTTTTCTTTCTGCTCAGAACTTCAGAACCTGCGGGGTGTGGGCCCTTCTTGAACGTCGCAGGTTACATCAAGAGATTACGATCTTGCTGCAGTTGAAGCACCAGCACATCGTGAAGCTTGTGGATTTTGCACGCTCCTGAGGAACACCCAGCCGGGCCTAAAGCACTTTTTTCCTCAGGAGGACGAAGTCACTAAAAAGAGGTGTTTTTGGGGTCTATCCTTATTAGGGTTCAGATCCACTGCGTGCTCCGAGGGGCTTCAATACTGTTGTGTCCACTTTCTGGGGGAATACATCGTTTACAGACCGTCAGTCATCCAGGTTTGCGGCCTTCTACATCGAGAAATGTTCTAGAGAGAAAGCAGAAGGGTACAGTTCTAACATGTTTTAACGCATTCAACCTGGCTGATGGATGCTAGTGTCTTCCAGACTGTTTGAAGTAACGATGGGCCCTAGCTTTGTAGACGAAGACACATGACTTCCAGAAGGCCATTGCAAGACGATAACGTCTCCACGAACTCAAGAACTGGCTGTGAGAACTTCAGGACAAGCAAACTCCACACGAGCCCAGCAAAATACCAAAGAAAGGCAGATGTGTGCCTGGTCCTGGCAACGTGTGGTGTTGAAAAGTAGGCGCGCCCAGCAATGTCTGAATGCCACGGGTGGTCGAGCGAAGCGGGGATGATGTCAACGCGTTCGCCTAACATTTGGCTCATGAGGTCAAGGAGGAAGATTGCTTGTACCTGGTCATGGAGCTCGTGACGGGCGGTGAGCTTGGCGAATGGATCGTTGCGTGGGATGGATTGAGATACTTTCTCTTCTGCAAGATGTCAGGTGGTGCAAATGTCTACTAAAATTTGGTGAAACAGCATGCAAATATAATACATATATATATGAAAAGCAGGTTCAAGCACGGCCCTTTTGAACGGAACCCTAGGGGCAAGATCTGGTGAAATGTCGCGGAACGATATCAAATGAATTTGCACTCCCCCTTTTTGGTTGGAGTCTTACCTGGAGGACACATTGAACCAGAAATTCAACCGGAACCACAAACACGTCCAGGAGCGCCCCAGACAGCACAAAAGCACCACGAAACACTAGGAGTCCTTGCTGGTTTGTTGTTGATGTGGTTTGTGGATGTTGCTTTTGCTTTGTTTGTCATGTTCTTGTTCTGTGTGTTGTGCATCATCGATGTCGACGAGTCGAAGTCCTGCTGCCCGACGTTTCTTCTGGGATGCCCTCATCTCATCATGCCGGATACGCCACCTTTGTCCCAGTTGTAAAAACAACCAACCCTGACCCTTCTCCGAGGTCTTTGTCAACACGTTGGCCAACATTCCTCCTCCATCAACCCAGCATACTTCAACACCTCCTTGTTGTAAGTTTTGTCGAAGGCTCATGGCTTCTATGCCGGATCTTTTCTCTGCTCCTTTGACTGAAGGAGTTGCCCGAACCAACTTGTCAAAAAGATTCTTGGCGTCCGTTATGAAGAGTCCTTTCACCTGTTTGGCTGTTTTGTCAACATCTCTGGTATTTGTCTGTTTGCCTTGCATCTCTGCCCAAAGAAATCTTAGAAAAGTCAAGTCGTCTTCCCCATCCAATCCAGCCATACATTCAGCGCTTGCAGGAGAACGGCAAATCCTGTCGATCTTTCCAGATCGCCAATGGATGGCGGTGACTCGAGCTTCTTGACCTTCTCGGAGGTGTCGGGTGGACATCCCAACAAAGATCCCTTCAGTTGAGTCCACACCATTTGGACGATTGGCATGAGCTGCATCTGTCCAGACCGCCAACTCCAACTCCTCTGTCGGTGGGAAGGCATGTATCTTGTACACCTGATCAGCTGTTCTCTTGATGTTTCTGATCAGTTTGTTTGTGTCATTGATGTCTGCCACAGTGCTGCTTGGTATCTTTGTCAACAATATGTTCACATCCACTGCGAAAATGAACACTGTTTGCCCTGTCAACCATGACAATGAACCCAATGCTCCTCGCAGTAGGGTCTTCTCAGCCTTCGTGGTGGGACTTTCAGTCAACCTGCTTCTATCCCGTGACAAATGGATTTCCTCTAACTCTTGGATGAATTTTGACTGTTTCATCTCAATGCTGAAATCACTGTTTTGCTGTATCTCAATGCCACATTGTACAAATTGTTGTGTCTCCCAGGTGCCCCACTTGAACCTGTTCCGCAATGCTGCTTGCATCAGTCGTTGATGTTCACTGCATCCTGCTGCCCCTGCAAACATAAAATCATCGACATGTGCATGTATTGCACTTCGAACAACCCCGTGGGAATCCTTCCATATCCAACAACATGGTTCCACTTCAAGCTGTTGATATCCCAAGGTCTGAAGAAACTTGTTGACGCTTTCGTGCCAATGTAGGGGTGCCTGCACTAAACCGTATGCTGCTTTCTTCATCAACATTACGGAATCCGGTGGGAGGCCATAGGCCTCAGTGATCTCCCGTACGGGACGGCACCAAAGTTCTTCCTTGAGATCATCCCCTTGAAGGAAGGCTCCGGATATATCACCTTTCTCCAACACCCACTGTTTCCAGGCTGTCATCTGTAAAAACAGTTGTCGACCAGCCCGTGATGGTGTGGGTGCTGCTGTGGGTCTTTCAGAATACCTTGGGTCTTGGTATCCTAGGACTATTGCCCGTGCTTTTGCTTTCCTGTTGTTGTCCTCATCAAACTTCCAACTCAATAGCCACCGCATACCAACCACCTTGCTTTCATCGACCTGTTTGCGAGCTGCTTCAAAGCATTCTGATGCCACAAAGTTCCTCACTTCCTTCTGCTTTGCTGTGATGAACTCTAGCATCTCTTCTTTGCTCAATTTCTTCTCATTCACTTCCAACTGCTTTCGTTTCATCATGCTGCAGATGTATGCTTCAGGATTAGCTGCAAACTTCTTCCAGCCACGTTTGGATGATGGCATTTCAATGTCAATCTCCACTGTTGTACGGTTCTCTTCAGTGGCATAGAAGGCATGTAGGTCCATGTCGTCTGGTGAATCACGATGACTTGTCGAGCCACCTCCGGGGTTTTGACGAGATGGTTCAGCTGGTAACATCTCCCACTCCCCGTCATCTTCCTCAAGATCCGATGGCTCGTCCAATGTCTTTCGCTTGTTCTCTGCAATGCGTTGTTCCTCAGTTCTTGTTGGCCTGTCAACAACTGGTGGATGAACAATGCAGGGTCCCTTGCCTGTCTGTCGATGTGTAGGTGCTCCCAAATCCCTCCCATCACGTCCTATTGGCATCTCTTCTGCTTGTTCCCACTGTTGTGTTGTAGGAATTTCCTGTGTAATGTCCAAAAATGTTCTCCGTTTTGGATCTGTGGCCAATGTTGTGATGGTCCATGGGAGTTCCACGGGCCCCTTCAACGCCTCCAACTGTTGTTCATATGGTGATGCTCGCCTCAGTTGCTCTGGAGCTGCTCGTAGTAATCTTCCTGCACGGTGGAGCCAAATAATGGACCCGGGTCGAAGGTTCCCGTCACTATCTCTTCTTGTTTCGGTAGCCAATACCCTGGCGGGACCCAGGAATCTGCCAACTGTCTGTGTGGTCTTCTCCTTGAGTGGAACTTGTTTTCTCCAGAAATACACCAAATCTCCAGGGTCTTCTATGTCCACTTCTTTCAGCTCTCTCCAGCCTTCTCTTCGCAATCTCTTCTGCAAAAGCTTGACTGGCTGTTCGACGGATGTGGATGTCTTCTCTGAAACCCCCATCTTCCAAGAAACCCGGATGTATCGGTCGTGTTGTGGGGTCCTCAAAGAATCGTCCTGTCTCATCTGGTGCCCGGCCCAAAACTTGTTGTATTGGTGTGTATCCTTTGTATTGCTCCTCATTGTTGCATACCCATGTGCTCCGAGCAATGACCTCTGTAGCCTCCATGTCCGGAAACTCTTCAACCAATTTTTCTGCAACACCCTTCAATGTCTTGGTTGCCCCTTCCACAATGCCGATCTGCCAATGACTCTCCCCAGGAATTGGAACATATTCGATGCCTTTCTTGGCAAAGTACTGATCGGCCTCATCGGACATCCAGGGACCTCCGGGATCGATACGAATCACCTGTGGGTGTCCAAAAATTGAAAACCACTGCTCTTCCAAAATTCGACGAATTTGCTCCCATGTGGTTCGATTCCCTTTCCCAGTGTTGGCCACTCTAGTCATTCGGAATCGGGTGCCTTCATCTATCATCACCAACACATGATGTTTCTCCTTTGTTTGGGGATGCATCCAGGTGAACATGTCTACCTGTAGTCGTTCCCACTTTTGTGGAAGAGTCTCGAGTGTTGCAAATCTCCGTGGATCTTTCCTATGACGATGCTCACAAATTGAACATTTCCAACTCTTTGCAACCTGTATCACTTTTGGGTGTGCTCCACGAAGTTCTAATGCCTTGATCATGTTTGACAAACTGCTGTGACCTGTACTGCAATGTATCTTTTGTATCTTACGAACAATCTCTTGTCTCTCCTGCTCCTCGATGTCCAGCTGCTCCACAGCCTGTTCAGGATGTTGGTCAGCTGCTGCAGCCATTTCTTGTCGGTCATGGAGTTCATCAATGATCCTGGCCCACACTTCACACTCTGTCAAGGAATCCACCACTTTGCGAGCGAATGCCGGTGTGTACCGTGCTGTATGTGCTGTTTCTCCACGTTCACATTTTCCTTTTGGATGGTTCTTCTGGCATCGCAGGTTCATGTGTTGTAGTAGTGCTGCATTCTTGGTGGATATGGTCCATGCTTTGCATAAAGCTGTCTTGCTGTCCCTTGTTCGCAGTCCCATGGTGCACCCATTGCAAGAAACCCTTTTGAGACCATGCCGCTGTTCATAGTCCTGCACAAAATCTAGGTTCCAAGCTTGACACCGTTGTGACAACTCCCAATGAACTTCTGTCCCTAACTTCCATGCCTCTTCTGCCACTTGTATTGCCCCCTGATACTGGAGTTTTGCCTGAGCCTGTTTCTGATCAAGTCGGGCTGCCTGTTCAGGGGTTCTTCGATTGAGGGCTTGAAGAGGACAAAAAGGAGCACAATCACATGAAATCCACAAATGAACTGGTCGGAGTTGTCTAATCTGTTGCTTGACAAAAGCTACACCGGCTGTGGTCTCCAGATTGGCTCCATTCCAATCTGACAAACGATGTGCGGCCCCTTGACCAAACCTGCGTTCCACCTCCGTAGACAAAATGCTGTTTGGATAACATGCCAACTCAACCAACAAAGTCTTGTGACTCCAAACAAGGTTCTGCCAACTCTTACTGTAAGGGTTTCTCTGGAGGTGCCAGATCTTGGCCAGGGTCAAGGCGGACTCCTCTGGAAGAGGATTCTCAGGTGCAGCCTCCGCGCTCACATCTCCTTGCGGTTCTTGTGGCGGCCCTCCGTGTGACTCATCTCGGCCTTTTCGACCTTGAGAGCTTCCTCTTGAGCTGCCACGGATTGGATCTTGTTCTGTAGGACTTGACGCATCTGTTCGAGGTCCGCCAAGTCCTGCATCATCTGGGACTTGGTTGGAGATGTTTTCTCCTCTTGATACCCCTTCTGGGACACCACTGTGAAGCTGCCCACACTGCTCTCGGCCTTGCCAGATTTCTTCGATGGACTTGGAGCGGTGTCTGGAAGTGCCCGCTGGTGTTTCTGCATCTGGCACCATTGTGACAACCTCCTGAGTCTCCAGTGTGGACTGTCGCTCTCCTGGTTCGTGGTGATGACCCAGGATACGTAGCTCTGGTGCTCGTCCCACACCTCCTGATAGGTCTTGTCTCCGAACTTCCCAAATCCCACGAACTCTCCGGCCTCGGGTTCGAAGAGAGCATGGATCTCCTCCTCTCCCAAGGCTACCATCTGTGCGATGGTTCGGTTGGGATTCACTGGCACTCCCATGTCCTTCAGGTGTTCCATCAGCACACCTTTGTTGCGACTGGCCTGATGCAACTTCTGGAGCTTGCCCTTCAGGGTGGACTCCGGATTGGCCTTGTGATCCTCCCTGATCTCGGCCAAGCGTGCCTTGAGCTGTGGGATCGTCCACTTCTCGGGCACTGCTTCTCCCATTTCGCGAAGCTGAGCGACCAAGCCTTCTTGGGAGCCATGTGAAAACCTGACTGGTGTGGGATCGGACCTGAGCTGTCGGGCTTGAGTCGAATGCTGCTGTTCGGCTGTGAAGTTGTCTTGAGGTATGTGATGTTGTGCTTTGTTGTCGTCTTGTGGTGTTTGTTGATGTGTGGACTCACTCTTAGAAACAGTCTCACAAAAATTACATTTCTCGTTCCTCCAGGATTGAAGAAAACACTCAGGACATTGCTTAAATTCAATGTCAAACCCCGGCCTCAACTGACTCTGGTCTTGTTGAGACATAGTCAAAAACCCCAGTTTGCTCCCCTGACCTACTGACGTGCCCATTTTGCCAGAGGAGCCAAGTTCCTATTCAGCCACTAGGTTCAAAAATTCCGTCTTCCTACTGACACCTCCCTGAAGCAAATTTCCTGCCAGGGGCATCAGCAAGTGACCGTTTGGTGCCTCCACCAAAGGAACGACTGTCTTCTTGTCCACATTCTTGTAGATCACCTGATTGCTTTCAAAATCAATGACTGCTCCCAGAGACCGTAAGGCTTTCCGGGAAACCAGCACGGGTTGTTGCGGTGAATCGTGGATGTGGATCTCCATATTGCCATTCTTGCTTCCAGCTTGCATCTGAACCTGTGCTGTCGACACACATTCCTTCGACATACCATTGCCGAACTTGAAGGTTGGACGTTTGTTCAAGTCTAGCTGGATCTTGGAGTCACCACCTTGCTCAATGTTCTGAAGTGCCAAGGCCTCCATGGCATCAATAGACCCCAGGGAAGCTGTGGCACCCGAATCAATGATCCCCATACACTGATGCATCACTGAGCTGGCAACCTGGGCAGCCTCCACAGCCGCTCCTGCAAACTGTGCGCCCACGGTTGCTGGTGGTGTACTCTCTGTGGCCATGAAGGCAATCTTGGCTGCTTCTTCGGCGATCTTGGCCTCACTCTTGCGGTGAGGGCATTGAGCTTGCATGTGAGGTCCTCCGCACCGAAAACACTGGATCTGTCCCTTCTGTCGGTTTCCTTTTCCATCTCCTTTGGAAAACGGCTTTGGAGGATAGTAGTTTCGACCCAGCCTCATCTGTTTTTGATTCCACCTTGCCTCTTTCAAGGTGGCCTTGTGGATCTTGATGGCCTCCAAGGCATGGTCGATCTTCTCCTGCTCACATGCATATGCCTCCTGGATTTCCGGGTCTTCGCTATAGAAGGCATCTTCTTCTCCGAACAAGGCCTCATCGTCAGGGTCATCCTCGTCGGCGAAGCAAGCACTTTGCCCCTTCTGCTTGTCCCTCTTCGCCAAATCACTGTCTGACCACTGCTCACGTAGTGCCTTGCTGACTGCTGCGGTGGAAAATTCACCTTTGATTGCTGCCAAGATATTGGACTTCTCGTTCGGCTCAAGACCACTCCGGTGCAACAACAAGAATCCAGCAAGGAACTCCGGAATAAGAATGTCCTCACTGAAATTAATCCCATGTTGTTGGTGGTTCGTATTCTGTTGAATACCATGACGACGCTGCCCACTGATCTTGTGAACCTTCCCACGACCCAGCCCAGCCTGATTGGCGCCACACCTCCTCCTGGTCTTGTTCCCCCGCCTCCGACGGTGGTCCGTCCTCTTCGGTCAGTCGTCCATCATCTCGAAAAGGTCCTGACGGAGGTGACGACCTTTGTGAAGTCTTGTTGGAACTGGCACTCCAATTCCTCCATGGGTCCGGCTCAAAGGTCTTCTTGGTCTTCTTTTGTTTGGCCACCGTGTTCTCGTTGAACTCTTCGAAGTGCTGTCGAGGCCTGCCACAAGGCCTCTGAGTACCTTGATGACCACTCTGTCATAGACTCACCCTTTTGTCGACCCATGTTGTACACAAACTTCATGATGTGGTGACTTGCCTCCATCAAGCTCGGTCGGGCCAGATTCTCTTCCAGGAATTCCAGCAGTGTATAACCGCCCCTAGGGTGTGACAACCACTGCGGATTCCTGATCGTGGCTGGTCTGGTAATGGATTGAGCCACACCTGACAACTCTCGTAGTAGTCGAGGCCCAACCAAATACCTTTTGTGCCACTCTATCCCCATCATATACTGAATCACCTTCTCCTTGTACCCCGGCAGCAACTCAGGTGTTCCATCGAACCTCGGAACTCGTTCATCCATTCCACCTCCGCCAAGTGGCATTGATGGATTGCCCTGAATCCTTCCTCAAAAACACTTGTCTTCCACCGCCGTCTCCAGCCTGTGCTTTCAACGAACCTCCACGAAACCAGGCTCAAACGCTACCATGAAAAGCAGGTTCAAGCACGGCCCTTTTGAACGGAACCCTAGGGGCAAGATCTGGTGAAATGTCGCGGAACGATATCAAATGAATTTGCATATATATATATACATATAATATATGTATCGTATGTATATATAGGTGGAAGAAGACTTGTTCAGCACAAGCAAGTATGAATTCACAAAGGCCACACACGTGTTGCCTTGTTCAGGGGCACAAACATGTTGCTTCCAGATGCCTTTCCACCAATCCCAGGTTAAGAAAGGCGCCTTCTCCGAGCTCATGGGCCGCCATGTCTTCCAGCAGATCGTTGAAGGGCGGGGGCACCCGGAAGAGCGTCGTTCCTTCCGCCTTCCGCTGGGGACCGATTTGCGGGACATTCACAAGAAAAAGATCTGAACACAGACCAGTTGCATGGGGCGCCAGGTCTTGGACAGTGCTTCATTTTTGCTTTGTCGTGTCGGAGGTTGGCATATATCCACTCCAAGAACATCATCCACAGGGACCTCAAGCCGGACAACATCCTGGTGGACGCGTCCTGGCGCAGCATCACAACGTCACAGGGATAAACGTGGAGCACATTTCTGCACCAACGAGCTAACCACAGCCGCACCAGTAAAAGGAAAAACCTCAAAGCTGTGTTGTCGTAGGTCCTGCCGAGGGTGGGACATGAGCCTGAGAAGTTAGCCACCCTTTGATTCTTATCTTGCTGGCGTTCCGTTTGAACAACTCGATTCTTATTTTAGTGCCACCGTTGGCCCAGGAAGCATCCAAATCCACTCCGGAGAAGCTGGAGATCAAACTGGCCGATTTCGGGCACTCTCGACTCATCAATGACGGTGGCTCGTTTGACGGCAGACGAATAAGGAAGGGGCCAATATATATAATTGTGTTTCACGTCCATCAGTTTTTGTTTGAGAGAGTCACATTGTGGTCCATGGCAGGAACCTGTTTGACACTGGCATGGCCCTCTCACCCCCGGCTTCGCCACAGCCTTAACCAGTTTATTTCCGCACGAACACTGGTCCTCATCACTGGATTGACCAACAGCATTTCTTCCAAAGGGTCCAAGTGTTGTTATACGTGTGAGGTTCCTCTTGCTTCTGCCTGCCCAATATCTGATCTCTAGAGGGAGAAGACTGGAAGACATGACCTTCTGTAGTTTGCTTGGGTGGTTTGCAGCCTTCATAGGTCCTTGATCAATTTCCACTAGCCACTTACGTGCAGACTGTTGAACTCTGCCTGGCCGGGGGACTTGTGTATTCTGTTTTGTCCAACAGGACCGATCAAATCGTTGAAGAGACTTGTAGGATCTTGTAGGTGAACAGAATCCGCTTGGAGAATCTTGGAGGCTTTCACGTCGGTATGCTCCTTCAGACGCCAACCACCCACCGTCGTGCGCTTGAAGCGCACTCTTTGTCAGGCTCCCATCGGCGTTTGACAGCCCGGATCGGCACAGCCATGTACTGGGCACCTGAGGCCAGGCTGCTTGTCGAAGGGTGCCTGGAAGGGTTCCTTCACTCTGTTAGGGCAGCTTCATCCGGCAACAAAGAAAGCACCGGCTCTACATGGCATTTCCAGGTGGCTTTCGAAGAAACTTGCCACCCGTTTCCACACATGGACAAGATGTCAAGAGAGTGACTATGCCCTCAACTGACTTGAACTCCGTTGTTTCAAGAAGCAGGTGCAAAAGTGCAAACCCCAAAAGGCCCCAGGTTGCCACCCACAGCACCTGAACCCCGTCCAGCACAGGTGTCAGATCCAAACCTCGCGGCCATGGGATACGACCAGACAGCTGATTTGTGGAGCTTGGGCGTTGTCTTGCGCCTTGACCAAAACATCGCCATGTCAATAGACCCTACTGAAATCACAGGGGACCACGTCAACTATTTAAAACGTTTCATGACTCCCTTGATTGGGGGGGTGGGCCCTTGATTTTAGAGAAACCGTTTCTTGAGATGCTTTGGTGAATCTTGTATGCTTCTGTACTGGCTCATGAACCAGTCGCATACACAAACATGATATTTTCATATATCATATATCAAGACATTTGGTGGGGTACCTGCATTTTATGCGCAATAGGCGGTGTCTACCACCATGTTATATCATAAAATTGCGTCGTGGACCCCCCACCCTGAATTGAGACAGGGACACCAAAACCATCGAACTGAGAAAGGACTCACACGCAGTTAGGTTGTAACACTTGCAGAGTTTGGGGTCTTTGGACCTTGGTGGATGTAATGTGTCCAAAGCCCATGCAGTCTTTGTCAAGTCTGCCGTCATTGTCTCAGCCAGCTCGTGTAAGGTACGTGATGTGCCTTGCCAGCCTGGGTAGCAATCTGACCGATGCCGGCAAATTCCAAAGACTGGTGTGGGTGTGGGAAAGTAGGTGGACACGGGGATGGGGGTGTTGTCCCCCATTTGGGGTAGCTAATTCACTAATTGAATGGCCCTGTTTCTATCTTCCGAAGAGGAACATTGACTGGGCTCGATTGATATATGAACATCCGACAAACCTCCGTACATGTACTTGAGGTCATGAGCCGCCTGGAGTATTTATGTGTTTATCGAAGCCTTGCAAAACCAGACAACCCAATGCCGATACCCTTTCTTGATTGACAGCAGGCCAACCCAAAATACTTTTGGCATGGGGGACATGAAGAAGTTTTGTCCGCCACTTATATACTGTATATATATTTATGTGTGTGCGTGATTAGGTTTTATAGTTGATGATACAGAGATGCAATGGCTTTCTGCTGTGGGAGATCCTCAAAAAAGGTATATAGATGAGTCCGGTCGGATTCGGCCGGTCTAAACAGGTTGATTGGCTTCTTTCCCTTCGAGAATGGCGACAACCTGGGCGATCGACTTCAAGCAGATGTCAACAACCTCACCTTTCGGTTCCTTTCTGCATGTTGGCGTTTGGTGGGGAACGAAAGCTGATGGAAGCCGTCTGCACACCAGGCAAAGGAAGTTCCCTGCAGCTCATAGACCAGTTGCACCCATGTTGGATCACCATTGACCTTCAGCTAATACGTTCGTTTTTTCAGGTCGTGTACTTACTTTCTGCAGGGGATGCGGCTAGCGGTAGCATGCGGTAGCCAAAAACCAAGTACGACAGCAAGAAGCCAGCGCACTAAGCACTCGATCAGTGTTGACCCTCTAGGCACCGGCCTTTCTTTCGACACGATCACGCAGAGGTGCACATCAAGTACCCCAGGAGCTTTCAGAAAATCCAATCCTGTTCCCCAAAGGATTCATCGCCTGGTGGACTACAACCTCACCTCTTAAGGTGAGGGTTCACAATTTCTCAGTTGTGGCTTACTATGGCTTACTAGTAGATGTTGCAAGCACATCGGCCATGGTAAAATGCCCGGTGGGGCTTGCTCGCACTTCGGCGTCTCCTAACTTGCCGGGTAACTTTTCTTTCATGTTCTTTCGGTCCTTTTATCACCCATCAATGACAGGCATCCAAGTCTAGAACCCCCCAACCAAAAACAGCCGCTCCTGGTCTGAGACACACCGTGGCGGCACCCCCACCGCCCCCAGCCCGCGGCAAAGCGCCTCGCCGCCCGGACCGCTCGAGGCAGCGATCCTCTGGACCGGAATTGAGCCTGGATGCTCAGGACGGTCCGACAGGTCCGACGGTCCCGGGAATGAGGCGATCTTGCCTTAACGGGCGTTTTGGTATACGGTCTACGGTATAGATTAAACAAGTGCACTGACTCTACTGTTACAAAACCTCTGATGCGAGATGTCTATCATGTTCATTCATTTTCTATTTGCATTTTGCTCTAAACATCCACCACTCTCCAGGTCTAAAGGCATTTGACGGTCAAACACTTGCTTCCAGAATCACAAAGGTGTGTATAGTCGCAAAGCCTAGAAACCATCGCGACATTCCACTGCTCAAATTCAACACAGCTTCCTACACGTTACAGGTAACAAGTAGCATATCTTCCGGCATGTCTAATATCCAGAGATAGAGTCCAGAGAACAACTTGAAGGATTTGTTGCGATCACTTTTGGCCATCGATCCGCACAAACGCTTGCCGCTGAAGCACCTTGGTGGGAGCCAAGGGCGAGGCGAGTGGCGCTGGTTGGTAGCTGACCCTGTTCCCCTGCTCCTTCAGTAGGTGTTCCTGGAATCTTTGACTATGAGCTAGCTCAGATAGTATGCCAAGGGCCAAGGGCAAGACTCATAAGGACAATATATGGCTACTTTTCACCAGCTTTTCTTTGAACCACAGCCCTTTGGGTACTCTTTTGACATTCAATGCTTCAAAAGTTCCAATGGATTGTGAGAGTACATCAGTACAGTATATATGTAAATGCAACGCGGGCTTCAGTTCTGCATCAGCGCATGGTGTATGTATGAAGCTATTTGTTTCATGTTCCTTTGTTCTTCTTGCAGTGGTGTGTGGCAAGACCATTGATGGAAACCAGTTTGATACGCGCAACGGGCACCCCAATCAAACTCAAATAGTACAGATATCATTACAGCCCAGCGGTGCAGACAACAAGGGGGGGTTAATAAATTGAAACGAACCGTGCGCAGACCATAATCAGGGAAGGGTAACTTGTCAACAGTTAACATTTAACATTATGTGAAATCAGCATGCCTGCAGTAGAAAAGACCAAGCAAATCAGACAGATCTGGTAGATGCCATTGGCACATATTGGCACATCAAACGGCCAGGCAGTGCCTTAGTCATCGTTGGTGCTCCGGTCGCGTAGCCCCTTGGGTTTGCAAACAATGTCAGGGCTCAGAGCAAAGAACAGAGCTGGGAACCTACCAGTCAGTGAGTAGAACCATGTCAAATGTATGTTTGGGGAGGCTGGTGGTGGCATTTGGGACGCGTCCATTTACAAAAGCAAACCGGACATGGATATACGGAAACACAAACTAAGTAAGATCCACTGCTCAACAACTGAAGACCATGTTTGTTTCGTCCAGTGCTGGTGCGATCATTTTGTGATCATGGGTCAGAGGGCCTGTTTTGTTGGTAGTTTTGGGATCCGTTTGCTTTTGATCATCTCGTGCCGCTGCCATAACCCCAAGTAGCAACCGGGTTGCAGATTTTGGCGCCAAACTCTGGAAGATGGTGAGTTTGGAAAGCCTGCCGTTGATGGTTCAGAGGGATGACTGTGAGGGCACGGGATGTTGAGTCGTTTCATTTCCTCAGGTGCACTTGCAAGCAACAGCTTGAAACAGTTTTTAGCCCTCATGGCAATTCACATTGGACGAGCCAAGGATGTAAGGATCATGAAGTTGGCCACAGATCCAGGCCCCAATGCCGTGGAGGTCCGTGTTCCTCTAATTGCACCTCGGCAACCTCTCGCGTGATGTGTCACCTTCGCAAAAGCGGCGTCAAAACCTGACGCATGGCCTTCGCGTGAAAAACCAAGTGGCCGGACTGAGGTGAAGCCTGGCCCGGAGAAGCTTGAACTGCTCCGATGTGATTTGCAGAAGTGGATGTACAAATTTCGTTTCTTGCTTGCACTCAGCTTCAGACGCAATTGGCACCTGTTTTATTGAGTGGATTTGCAGACCACACAACGTGTGGCATTGCACTGTTGGCTAATTTCTTGGATGCACAGGTCAGAACCTTTTGTGCGCTGTTTGGGCAATTACATGTTTTGTGGATATTTTGGTGAGGCGAATGTTCGTTTGCATGCCTTCAAACTCACCAAAATGGAAAGAATGCCTCCTGTCCCTTCATGTGTTTCTTGTTGTTGTTCACTAGTTCCTAGTTAATCCAGTTAGGGTTACATCAAGGCAGATCTCAGAATGAAACCCTGGACGCTAAGTGTTCCAAAATTGTCGTTGTACAGTTGTACCAAGTAGAGAGCATGCTGGCCCAAATCTCGCAGAGGCAACTTTGCACAAATTCTTCCAGATGCTGTGATTGCCAATTTGGGCGAATCATCTCAGGCGGGTTGGGAATGCTGCGTCCCCTTCTCGCAGGATGTGTAGGTTCATCGCTTACCCTATGTCTCGCCTTGTGTTGTGTAGACATGTAGCTCATGACGTCTAACATTTTCTAACAGCAGAGTAACGCAACTCAGAGCAGATCATTTTTGGTTGGGAGCCTGTCATCTCTGGTCTTTGGTGCTCGGTGGGATTCTTCCATCTTTTAGGCCGACCTGCCGGAGAACAAAGCGGCCCGCAGAGAGCTGCAACACATCGTGGAGCGCCATTGCGGGCGAGGGATGCCCCTCGGCCGCATCGGATCAAGGTGATTCCTCGGCAGTGTCAGGGCAGTATGGTCAGTCTGCTTGGGTGGACGGTAGTTTGCTGAAAACACTTTCGGTGTGGAAAATGAGTGAATCAAAATACATACTCCTTTGAACGGCTGGCATTTCCTGTCCAGGGAGGGCGATTAGAGGACCATAGCTTTAGCCCGATATTTTGTTGAGTCAATAGGAGTTTCCATATGCAGGATCGTGGTGAATGATCAGAAGATGTGGACCGCCATCGCGGAGTCGAAGAACGAGACCATGCGTTGCCCTGTGGCGCTGAAGCCCAAGGAACCGCCGGCGCCCGAAGTGGCGAAGCGGCGAGCGGAGGGACAGGAGGGACCCCCTCAGCCCGAAGGCTTCGCCACGGAGGCGCCGCGGGATGGTGGGGAGCTGAACGACGAGCGCAGCTCGAATGAGATGGAAGGGGCTCGACTTGCAGTTGCTGCCTTGCAGGGCGCTTGGGAGAGTCAGCGAAACTCCTCCGAGACCTATGTAGTGCAAGGCTTGGACGTCGCGCGTCATCAGAGGCAAAGTAATGGCACTGTAACGAAGAGACCTTACAGCTTGCGCTGGAACCCTTCAAAAAGATGCTTGGAGTGGGGCAGTGGGAAGTACTTCTTGCAAGCACCTGCAGCCGTTCCTATGGTTGAAGCCGTGTGGCCCTTGGAGTTGCGCATAGTAAGATGTTTCTATGCATGTTTTGCATTGAATTTTCGTGCCTTTTTGCCCACAGCAATGTGTTGCCGGAATATGACCTCATAGATGGAAGTAAGTGTCTCGGAGTGTTTGCATGTGGCATATCAATGGTTCAATCATCTTCAGTCCAGGTTGGCCAGTGATGGCGGTCCTGGCTTTGCGTGGCGTAGAACCAAAGGTGACTTGGCATATTGCCCAAGGTAATTGTTGAGAGTAGAAAGCTGGCTCAGATTGCAAGCATTGGTAGCTTTTCCTCATCACGAATGACCTATGTATGGACTCGTGGAATCTACGCTTAGCCTGATTTCGGAGTAGTCCATTGTGCCAGGGCACATAGATTCTGAGACTCCAAGGCAAGGTCAGTCTTCCCTGTTCCCCCAGGTGATTTGCCAGTTCGAGGGGGCAAAGGAAAGGGAGCAAAGGGCAAATCTAAAGTGCCTGGGCAGGAAGTAGTAGCATGTAGTAGCAAGAGTTTGTGCATTTCCCCTGTTTGCTTTGATTTCATTAGGCATTGGCATTGGGCAGGTGCTTGAGATTTGTGTGCTTGTGCATGTAGCTGGGTTCCATCTACAAAAGTTTCATGTTCATTGTTCAGTTGCATTCGAAGATTTCCCACTAGCACAACCGAGCGTATGGAAGGGCGCCCCCAGAAAGTGCTTTAGCTTGGTTTCGTTGGGAAATCACTGAGGGCAGCTTCGGGGGTGGCGAGGAAGGACGGGGCGAGCGAGGACGCGGTTCCTCCAGGTATTGAGATTACGCAATTTTAAAGCTGAGCCATCCGTTGTCGATGGGCCTTTGATGTACAGGTCTCACCCATCATTGATGGCAAAAGAGTTCATTAGCACGCCATTTTAGATGTATAGCATGTCCTGCCAATTCTTGGCATGATCTGCAAGACGATATTGCAATCACTCCTTTGGGGAGAGTTTGCTACCGCTACGGCCAAGCCTGACATACCGTGTCCCGAATCACATGTCCCAGAAAAAGAGTCTCGTGGCAGTGCATGCCAGTGGTGCGTCACTTCAATGTGCAGAATTGATCAGCAGTTGTCGCATCAACGTATTTGACTTGATGCAACGTTTATCCCAAGCGCATCAAATTTGATGTGCATTGTCAGTTGAACTGTAGTTGCTCACCACACGTGGTGAAGTCCCAATGCTGTCACTGTTACCCAAAGCTGTCCTTGAACCTCGGCTGACTTGTTTTGAATCTAGCATATAGTTTCTTGTTTTGAGTTTGGGTCCAATGTTGCCAAGTGCCCCAGATGCCTTGCTCTTTCATCACCTCGTCACGCTCCGAGGTCTTGCTCTATGTTTTGCCCACGATCGGGTTGAAGACGCAGACCATGCTGACAGCATGCACTTGCAGCTGCTGCGAGGCCTCCGCTCGATCATTCCTTCGGACAGGGCACAACGCAGTGATTTGCACCCCGCTCTTCGCCATAGCACAAGCATCCAGCTGCCCTGCAGAGTGCAATGATCTCCAGGAAGCAACCGCTAAGGCACTTCACAATGCCGCGCTGGGAGATGAAGAAAGTGCAGTGGACTACTCGCGCTTTTGCTTACAAAGCTGTAGTCCTCCTGGTGCGAAGCAAAGCCTTTGTACTCCTAGCTTGCCGCTGCCCCTTTTGGACACCTCCTTGCTTGCCAAGCCTGAGTCAACAGCCCCAGAGACAGGGACACTGGTGGCAGAGGCTGAGGGCAAAAAGGCGTCCGCAATGGCAGCGGAAGCGAAAGTTGCTGCAGCAGAAGCAGCAGCCGCAGCAGCAGAGGCCAAAGCAGCAGCAAACTTGGAGATGGCTCAGAGCAGAGGCTCATTGGCTTCAGAGATCACTGAAGAACTGAAAGCCAGTGCAGCTCGAGCTGCCATGTATGCCAACAGCGCCTCAGAATCGGTCAAGAAGGCTGAGAAGGAGCTACAGGAAATGAAGGATCTTCCAAAGAAGGCAGCGGAAGAGGCAGCACAAGAAGCTATTCGACAGCTCCAGCAGGAGGATGACACAAACAAGAAAGTCTTGGAGACATTCCAGGCACATGCCACACCTACCTTGCAGCCTCCATCAGCTGCAGCAGCCATTGCCGCGTCCCCGTTCAGGGCAGCAATTCGTGAGGCCGAACAGGTGCAAAATGTCTATGAACAAAGAGCCTCCCAACTGAAGTCCGAGGCTGACTTGTTGCGAGCCAGTTCTGCCAGTGTTGGAGACCGCTTGGATGCCTATGCCAACAACAAGGACTTCTCGCGAGTCATCCGAGCTCAGTCGCATGACTTGCTGGTGGAGTCCTTGAGGAAGGAGACTGAGGCAGCCAAAGCCATGGACGATGCACACCGTGCAGGACGACCCATCCCCAAACTGGAAGCGGCAGCGGCCACCGCGGCGGCGAGGGCTTCGATCTTCGGCACGTGAGTTGGGAGCGTGGGTCAGGCACTGTTGAACATCAATTGTCCATTGTTATTATATTATACTTATTTTGTTCTAGTTGTTGGATTGACACGCCAAACAGCTGTTAAACAGCTTGATGGAGCACAGCCTCTTTGCTTGTGTTGAGAGTTTGCACAGTCTTCCAAGTTTGAAGTTATCAGTTATCAGCTTGGCTTATTCGGGCTCCTCCAAGAAGGATGCCGCCAACATGTCCCAACCCATCCTATCCCCGTCCCACATTGCCCAGCTGAGGATTTTGGAGTCCAGCAAGTGGATGCCGCCCAGTTTGGGCCCCATTCCTGTCATGGCAATGGCGCCTGCACCATCTCCAGCTTAAGATCGGAGCTTGGCCGGCTATCGGAGTAAAACAACCAACGTGAGTGGTGACTCTTCTACGCACATACTTTAGTGGTTTGGAAAACCGTTACCTTCACTAGCTGAGTTCCTTTCTAGTGTGAGGGATCCTGAATCGAGAATCTTGTGTGTGCGTGTGGCAAGGCGTCAAGCTTCAGCAGTATTGTGCAGAGATTGAAGGAGAAGATGCTATGCTTGTGCGTGTCTTGCCCCACTGCAGCATTGGGGCTGAGTCGGCCGAGTGTAGGGATTAGACTCAGACAATGAAAACAAAGGGTTCACAATTAAAGAGCACATAAAGATGTATGAAGTGCCCATGCAGTAGGCCACAGGAATTTGCAGCCGAATGGATGTTTGCGTCACATCAGATCTGGCATCCGCTTCGCTTCACAGCAGTTGCGCCATTTGAGCCACCCATCATGGAGGCTCGGGGCAGTTGATAGGGATCCAGGGCAGTTGATCTCTTCGTGACGGAAGTAATTACAGCCTGTTGTTGTTGGACCTTGCAGCACCTTTTTTGCCACTAACAAGAAGCTACTAGGGGCTCCTGGCCTTACTACTAGGAGCAAGGACGCTACTAGGGGCTCCTGGCATCGCTACTAATAACAAGAAGCTGCTAGTAGTTTCATTCTTCTGGTGAACCAGTGAACATCCGTTGACCCACGGTGCCCGAGGAGGTCAGTTGGCCTTGGAAACACCCCGCACGACAGGGGACTGTTGTGCCCCAAGGTGAGCAGAGCGAGCTTGGCATCAGCGCCCGTGTATGCCCCGAGACCCAGCACAAAGGTGAGACACCTCAAGATCAGGCGGGCTTCGTGTTTGGCCATGCCGTTCAGTGTTGTGGTGCTTTGGGTTCGAGAAAGCAAGCACTACTAGTAGCTTCTTGTTACTAATAGAAATGCACCTGTTTCTAGTAGCGTCCTTGTTACTAGTAGCTTCTTGCCACATGCTTGTCCCATGTGGTCCTGCGATGTCCTGCCGAAACGTCGGAAATGTCATGCTTCACGTACATGGGAGGAGAACAAAAAATGAGACCAGCATGTAGCAGCGAATGGGTGTGCCGGACATTTGTCTTCGGGGACTGTTGGTGTGAGGGCATTGGCACCAGCACCGCAGCAACCTCTTCAGGCGAGTTCCGATGTTCCACCTAATGTATGCAAAGTTATTCGGAGAGGTAGTTTTGGATAGTTTTGGCACAGTGGAGCAGGCGACCTTTCCAAGAAGTGCTTCGAGCCGTGCTGCGCCAAGGGTGAAGTCGGTTCAGTAGGTGCAGCGGAAAAAGGCATCGGAGCACATTACGGGCCTATTTGCTCGGCACTTGCTGAAATGCAGTGGTCACAAGATTTGAAGGCCTTGGGGAGAGGATGGAAAACTAAAGATAATTGACTAATCCGTTTTGGTGCTGGGGATCCCAGAAGTCACTTGTTTGATCATAGTCGGAGCTCAACATTCCTCGTTGAGTTGGTTTGGTTCCAGCTGTTGAGGTGTTGCTGCTGCTCTCACGGTTTCAATGGTGACGCTTTGTAGAAGAAGAGTTCTTGCCTTGGACTTCACACTCAGCCTGAATGCTATGTGATTCTATATGTGTAGCAATTGCTACTCAGTTCGCTCATGAACCGGTGATGTCATGTTGAGATCTGGCATTTTTGACCTTTGCGCATGTGCAAGTTGCAGTTCACAAACAAAGAGCTCGCTCGATATTTGTTTTTGCTCCTTGAGACTTTTGGCCCAAGCCATTTGCCCCTGGGATGAATCGTGTCTCCCTGGGCCCCAATCAGAGAGTCCGGATCGCAGCTGGCAGTTGTACCTTAGGGGGGTGTCGGATCAAGGAGAATGGGCAGGGTCCAAAATAATCCACTGCATGGTCAGTGAGATGCTGGGCGTATCTTCCTTGCACCAGAAAAACCATGAGTTTCGTAGGAGTGCGAAGGCCCGTTTGCAGGACAAATGCATGCGCAGGCTTGTGTGTTTCAACTTCGCTGATGCTTTTGGCCACAAATCTGAGCCCTTCGGCTATCCCTTGTCTAAGACATCTTCGTTCCGGGACACCTGAGGTCCGAAAGCAGCCATTGCATCAATGGAGCGGCAAGGGATGAGAAACACCCACATATATTGCCGTTCTCGTGTCCGTCATGCGTGGAACGATATCAACTATATAGTCACTACAACCCCGGAAAACCACGGACATTCCTATCCACAAGCTGCACATAAGGTCCACGCAAGCCTGTTCGCAATTTGAGTGGCCCACAAGTAGGGATTTTTGGCCAAGGCAGTTGAGCAGGCAGGACACGAACACAAGATGCACACAGAAAGCTGCATGGCAGGTCTTGAGCTTTAGGTGAGACATAGGTGACGAACACATCACTGACCCCAGGGTCACCTATACTGTACGTTGGCCTGCCAGAATGCCAGTATCCTATGTAAAAACTGCACATCTCAGAATACCGAGACATTCAAGATGCTTCAAGCCACCAACCTTCGAAGCAATTTCGAGGTCTGATGATCGCCAACAGCGCGCCAGATGCCAAGGGGATGCATGACCCGGACACTGGGACATTGGTGACCTCATGCACCAATTGAAGAACTCAAAGGAGTCCGCCATCACCTTGAAAGTATGCGAGTTATCCGTATACATCCGTATACCATAGTTATCTTAGAATCCCCGTCTTGAAAGGCCGTGATGGTGTAGGCTTAAGAGGCCAAACTTCTTGTCAGGCCCGGTCAATCCCAGTCATATAGGTTACATCCTTGGTCACATTGAAGCTTTATTTATGGTGCCCCCGTCAGGGCTCAGATTGATGACGAGCTGGATGGGAACCTGGATGTGGATCCAGATGAGATCACAGAGGTGCGCTTGCATCCAACACCTATGTTGGACCTTCGGTACCGGTGAGGTAGTCACGGGTAGTCTTATGCTTCGGGTGCAGAGGTTCACTCGGGCTTGGACTCCCAACGAAAAGGAGAAGTATCGTTTGTGATGTCAAATGATTTTGGTGTGTTTATTGTGTCAGTGGCACCAACCAACTCAATGTGCTTTTCGGCCAGCCTCGGATCCACATGTAAGGCTGACACACCCACATCCTCGTGCCAGGTGGAAGTAGCCCGACAAAAGATCCGTCAGCTGATGCATGAGCAGGAGAGGGCAGCTGATTACGAAGATCGGCTAGCCAGGCTGGATGGGACCGTGGTTCATGGGCCGATGTTCTTGCTGCACGTTCGCCGGACCGTGTTACACGTTCCCGGGGTGCTCAGTGGCTGTGGAAGCTCGGCAGGAAGCTCCAGAAGCTGGATGCGGATTTGGCCTCGAAGAGGGAAGAAGTGGAAGGTCTACAAAGGCGAAATGGACAAGTCTCAGTCATAACGACGCAACACCCTTGTAATTTGGGGTCGTTTTAGGTGCTTCCCATGGAAAGACCCCCATGGCTTCCCGAAGCCACAGTCAGAGAAGGTCTTGACTGCTTGGCAATTGATTACAGATGAGGGGCGGTTTTTCTTTCGGTTTAACATGAAGCAGCTCGGCTTGATGGTGCCTGCGTATGAGGAGCCTGAATCTTGAACGGAATAAGTTCGCCGAGGACCGGCAGATGCAGTGTTGTGGTAGTATAGTTCATTTTATCAGCGCTGATTGCAGCCAATTTGATTGCAGGAATACTTGAGTGAAAAGCGGGAGCGTGAGACAAAGGCAAAGACTCAGGAAGAGCGGATACGAGAATACTTGACAGAGGCTGGAGCTGCCGTGTTGCGCACATTGCTTCGTCGGGGGAGTGGTAGGTCTTCTGATGGATCGTGACTGACAGGTGCTGTACGCGAAACCCAAGCAGAAAGACAAGAAAGCTGAGTTCAACCTGGATACTGTTTTAGTGACACTTGCCTGAAATGGATCTTTGTTCCAAAGGCATGAGTGGCAGTTGAGTGGCAATTCCTTCAATGGAGCACGGAACACTGCCGCGTCTCATGGCTCAGGTCTTTCGTCAAGATGAACGAAAGTTTCAGGTACAATCTGGCCTTCAGGGTGGACTCAGGCTCGATTTGAGACGTTTGGATATGGATATGGGCGTGAGACAGCACCCATGATGCGTTTGCTTGGGGATCGATTCCTGTTTTGTTAAGAATGTCCAAAGCGCAAAGCCCCCCTTTGGAGACCACTTAATAATACATAGGATCCATTGTGGCATTCGTCCAGGAACGACTATAGCCCAGCTGCGGAACAGTGCCTGCAAGTCCTTGAGCTCAGTGTAGTGTCCTCTCAGAGGAGAAGCAGTCTTGTTAGTCATACCGATACCTTCAAAGGGCCCGAAGCCTTCTTCTACAAGTGCCCTTGTTGCTAGGAGGCAAGGGTGGTTGAGGCCAAACCCGCCACCTTGAAGTAAGAGCTCTTGGAAGGGTGTATGTGGTCCTTGACTGTGGGGTATATATGTGTGCTTGAGTTTGTCCCATAAATGTCCGAAGCGTTTCATCAACACATTCACTGGATAATATATTAGTATATATTAATATATATATATAGGTTGGTCATTGTCTTGGTTGGTTTGTTTTCTATGTTGGTGTTCAATCCTTGTTCCTTGCCTTTGTCGTTTTTTCTGGGGCGTTGTTATTGGTGGTTCAGGGTCATAACTTTCACCCCATCAGGTTTGAATGAGGGGGATAATAGTTGAGCCTGTTTGGGTCTTAGGTTGGGGTTTGGGTCTTTGATGTTTATCCTGTCTCCCTTCCATGAGTGTTCAATGCCTGTTGTTCTCTAATCACTCGGGCCCGTGTGCCTCGATCACAGAAATCTCCCAATCACAGAAATCCATGTCCTTCCATCGCAGAACTACGTGGACGCCATTCACTAAATCCATGTTCCTCGATCACAGGTTCTTGTGATGATGACGATTTCGTGTGGTGTCAGTCTATGTTTGTAAAGCACTAGTTTCATCATCAAGACCCCCGAATTATCATGAACTGTCCTATGTGTGAAGTTTCTTGCCTCCAAACCAAGGTCTTCATATTTTGGGGGGCATGTTCAATTGTTTCGAAGAAAATTACATTCTGCCACCCATGGCCCCATGGCATGCTTCGATGGATACCCGATGCTTCTGCTCCAGCAGTACTTCAGAGACGTGAAAGTGAGGAACACAGATGTACCAAACTGCCAAGGGCAAGAGCATGGATTTCACCGGTGCACATTCTTTGCATCATGGAAAGGACACCTCCAGATGACAAGGTAGGATGGAACAATGCATAGCAATGCACCACCTGTTCCTGCTCACAAGCAGTGTTTCCACTGTCAGCTTTAGAGCTCCATGCCTCAAACTGGTCGTCGGGCTGGCGCTGGGGGATTGGTCTTGGACAAGCGCCGTCATTGCCACACAGCATGCCCATCGAGTCACGTTGTTTTGTTCAATCAGGCACGCGAAGGTCGAGGCTGGGCTAAGTGGTCAACAAAAGCTGCATAAAGCGACCTTTCGAACGCTTACCGTGCAAGGTGGAGGTAGAACCTGGTAGGAGACCTCCAGCCCGAGCACTACCAGCGACGCTTGCATGCTGACTGGAGCATGGTTCCCCATTCACGCAAGCGGGTTGGAGGATGCTAAGGAGAAAGGTATGAACATGGAGGACCGAAGATGACGAAAGGGAAGGCAACAAAACGCATTCTGTTGATGATGCATCAAGCATGCGGAATTATCCGAGCAAAGACTATACCGAAGCCGAAGCTGTTTTGACAGAAGCTTCCAAATGGAGCACGTTTAGTCACATGTGTCCAAAGCGTGGTCTCATACAACGTATTTGACAAGTGTGGTCAACAGTGGTAAGAGGGATGCGGCCCTTTTCTTTCCTAAAGGTATCTCTGAGCTTTGAGAGATCACGACGCTCAGACAGAAGGATGCCTGCTTGGAAAATGTCATCTCTGAGTTGAAGCATGACTGCGTCACCATCATCATTGATGAGGCGGACCACGCTTGGCCAGCAAATGACAATGCGGAGAAGAAGGAAACTGCCAAGGCAGCTCTGTCACAGATGACAAAGAATACAAAAGAGATCAAAAGAGAGCCAGCAGGCTTCGGTCACCCTCATTTCCAGTGAGCGCGACTACTCCTACAGGCCCTACAAGTTGGCATTTGCAGGACTAAATCTGCAGGACCCATTGCCCAAGAAGTGTCCCCTCACTTCATGTATGAGTTGTTCGTCAAGATGTGGCAGATCTTTTGGTGGCAAAGAAGTGTTTGCCATTTCGTTTGTGAGGAGGATGCCCGCGAGCACCTCACTAACATCGCTGTGGATGGGTTTTGACTGATCATGGCCTTCAAGAGTGATGAGGGCGCGCAAATCGCCTCACCAGAGAATGTCGCACGCATCGTCGCACGGAAAGCAAACGAAGCCTGGTTTGTGGAAAGAAGTCGTCGGGGAGACTAAGAAGAACCTGGTGTTTGCTGCTTCTACGCGTCATATCCGATTGGATGATTTGCGAAGCAGAGATGTGCTTCAGTTCTTTTGACCAAAGACAATCCGGAGCCTCTTTTTTGGCCACTCAATATGCTCTCAAGCCTCTGC